TAAATATACAAGGGCATTTACAGCCAATTTAATAACATGGAAACATATACAGTTGAAGTAAGAATTATTAGCCCCCCTGTTTATTTTTTTCCCAATTTCTATTTAATGGAGAGAAGATTTTTTCAGTACAATGCTAAACATAATAGTTTTAATAACTAATTTCTAATAACTGATTTAATAATATTTTACTCAATATTTTTCAAGACACTTTTATACAGCCTAATTAGGTTAACTAGGCAGGTAAGTGTAACAAGGCAAGTTATTGTATGATGATTGTTTGTTCTGTAGACTATCAAAAAAAGTATAGCTTAAAGGGGCCAATAACATTGTTCCTAAAATGATTTTTAAAAAATTAAAGACTTTTATTCTAGCTGAAAATAACAAAAATAAGACTTTCTCCAGAAGAAAAATATAATCAAACATACTGTGAAAATGTTCTTGCTCTGTTAAACATCATTTGGGAAATAAAAAAATAAAAAAACAAATTCAAAGGGGGGCTAATAAATCTGACTTCAACTGTATTGATAGTCATTTTCACTATAGATATTAATGCATTATACTATAGATATTAATGCATTATCAATCATTTTAGAGAATTAGGCCATTAAATTCATTTATGTAGTAGTAAACCAAAATGGTTTAGTCATTCAACACAAAACCTATATATTTCTACTATTATTATTGGTTTGAAGACGATATGACAGCCTGATGTCACGAGGAAAAGTAACGATTTTAAGTTTGTAATTTTAGTGGCTAATTCGTACACGTTCAGTCATAGGAAAATGTAAGAATTTTAAAAGGAGTGGTGGCACCAAACTCCATCCCTAAACCCAACTGTCATTGGGAATATGCAAATTGAAATAAACTGTATGAATGAGATTGTACAAATTCATATGAATTAGCCACTACATAAAAAAAAGTTACAAATTTCCGTGAGATAGCATTGGATATGATGAGTCAGACCAGTGCATTTGCATGAGTTTGAAGGAGTCGATATTTTTAAAGAAAATCAAAAAAGCCGACTGCAAGTTCAGCTAACTATATATTTCAGTATACCAACAGTCAAAATTAATTAAATAGCAGTTTTGTGCAACATTTCTCTAGTGTACTGCTGCATATAATATAGTCTATACAAACTTTCATAATAATACAAAAGTGGTTCATAAAATCCTGGCAAAAAAAATCTGTATAATAGTTGACTCAGTTTCAATTGATCTTTATATGTTCTTGTTATACATTCAGTGTACGATACTTACAATTAGTTTTCCATAAATTAAACGCTACTATCCTGAATTCAACCCCTAACCATAGTAAATACATGCAATATAAAGGACTTAAAAGTTAAAAGAATAGTTACATTATAGCAAGGGCACCTTTAAATAAAGTGTGTAGAATGAAATAAAGACTGATAAAAATAAAGAAATGAATTTTCGTCAAAATGTTTAGATGTATAACCAAAAATGTCAATTTTTTTCACGACCAGTTCTGTTGGTGATAGTACTATATAGTAACATTTATTGTGGTGTTTCTTGCTCAAATTTGTTTATCTAAAACAACTCAGGCTCATTCTGAAAACGTATTGCTATATACATTTCTGGAGAGCACCAAATACTTCCCTGGAGCTATGTTTTTTTTTTTTTTTTTTTTTTTGCAAATCCAACAGAGGCCGCTGTGCATGCTTTTTGAGATTTTTTTTTTTTCGGTCGTGAGTGTCATTACGTCTGCTGTTCTCACATAAATCCACCAGAGGTCGCTGTCGACTGACTGACTGACCAACTGTATAAAGTTTTCAGAAAAAGCTTGTGTTGATTCAAAAGTTAGATTAATGGACTTGAATGTGTGATCTGAAGATAATCTAAATCAGTTCTAATGAAAATTTGACAAAATTTAAAAGTGGAAAATTTTTATGATTTTTAGAATTTTTATGGAGTAAATATATTCTTACACAATTTTATTTGCTTATTTGCATTTTTTAAGTTTTACATTTAAATAAAGAGCTAAGATCTATGTGGTGTGTCTAGTTGTTTACTTTTGTGACAAGTAATTGTGTAATAAGTGGTATAATGTACATCAATGTGGTTGTTTTTGTAGACTCTAGCCTTTCAGTCTTATAGCTACAACAGTTCTCATCTTTATGCCGGGTTGCTAATAAGTCTCTCAGCCTTTATTTGATAAGCCTTCATTAAATTTAATTCTTTATTGTTGGACTTTATTGTGTGAGAATAACCACAATATTATCATTTACATGATATTACTCTTGACAAGGTAGTTCTCAAATTGAGGTGGTGTGGCCAGTGTGGGGTGACAATGACACACACACACACACACACACACACACACACACACACACACACACACACACACACACACACAGTTTAGAACAGAGACAACAATGTCTATTCTGGCATCATGCCAAGTATCTTGATGACAAGTTAAACTGTAGTGAAGTCCCACTACATTCAGAATTTAGCTGGCTGAGGCGGCCAGATCTGATTTCGGTTAGAAAGTCAAGAGTAGAGAAGAGATTCTTGATGATGAGCATTTATTTTCTCTCTTGAATATGCAGGTGAGGTATGCATTGAAGATATTGTAAGGAATGTGTGTTCGGTTTGTATAACAAAAACGCATTTGCAGAGCATAACCTATAGCATAAACAATGAATGGCATTCAGCCCGTACTTGTGTGCATCATGTAAATGTGTCAGTGCGGGAAACAATTACTAATCTTAGGTTCTAAGGACAGGCTTTCTGACATGAAATTTTTTTTTTAAATAAGCTTTTAATATCTTATATTTATTTACTTATACTTACCACCATGGTCAGATGATGTTCTGTGTGCAATTTGTTGAAGATCAAAATTGAAATGCTTAACTGTTGGGAAAAACATTTACTTTTTGTATTCTGAACATCAAAGGAATAGGAAGATTGCCTTCCAAGATATTGCAAAAATACACACAAACTGTGAACATCAAAGGAATAGGAAGATTGCCTTCCAAGATATTGCAAAAATACACAAAAACTGTAAAGATCTAATATTAGTAATTTATTATGACTTTTTACCTTTAAGTAACACTGATCCAAAAGGTACTAGTTTCCTTCTTAAAAAGGACAATGCCTTTGAAGGATGCTTTAAAGATTATTATCATAAACATGAGTGCAAATTTTGAGACATTTCACCCATGAGGGTTTGAATCGGAGACTCAAAATTTGCTGTGTTTAATAAAGAGACTGTCTGCTGTGTGCCGAATTTCATAACTTTCATGTAATCTAACATACAATAGTTGATTAGGTACCATCCATGGGCCCCTTGGAGGCTTGGAGTTTATAGTCACAGATTAAACTTGGCCTCTAATGACTAAATTAATAAATAGCATTTATTGAGTTAAATGTAAAAATTGAAAGCAGAAAAAAATAATTACCCATCTGATTGATGTACTTTGGATCAGTCACAGAGATAACAGAGCAAATCTAAAACCACACTAAAGCCCTGTTTGCACCTGGTATTAAGATGCATTTTTTTTTTATCTGACCACAAGTGGACAAAAGAAACAGAATTTTAAATGTGTCTCTCTTTTGTCTACTTTTGACCACTTTCAACCACCTCTCTGACAAGGGTGAATCTGTGTCCGACTTTACCTAAAGGTTCTTTATTGCCATTGATAGTTAAATGAAGAACCTTTAAAGTCTGTGAGAATCCAATGATGTGCAAAAAAAAAAAAAAAAAGCTCTGCCACCTACTTAACTCAACATTTCATTTCAGTGCATCAGCATATTAAAAAAAAATAAATAACAACTTTCCGTACACACAGACTACACTATCTGACAAAAGACTTATCACCTATCCAAGTTTTAGGAACAACAAATAATAACTTGACTTCTAGTTGATCATTTGGCATCAGAAGTGACTTATGTAAAAGGCAAAGGGCTAGATTACGCTAATTTTACCAAATTAAAATATGATCAAGGCTTGATTTTTTTTAAATTTAATTAGGACAGTAAAGTTGGATTTTAAGTCTCATCACTTAACAGAAAAAATGTGCAGTATAGAATATAAAGTCAAGCTTCAGTGGAAAAAGAATGAATATTGTGTATGACTCCCATGAGCTTGGACGACTGCATCCACACATCTCTGCATTGACTCCAATAACTAATAAAAGTCATCTGGAATGGCAAAGAAAGCGTTATTGCAGGACACCCAGAATACATCAAGATTATCTGGATTATTATCTGGTTCCAATGAAGTATTTGTGAAGATTCATGGGATGCAGTTTAACATATGATTCATCAGAAAAAATTACCTTCCGCCACTTTTCAAAAAGATTAACCAAGTCAAGTTATCATTTGTTGCTCTTACAACTGGGATCAATGACAAGACTTTTGTCAGGTAGTGTATAAAATTCTTTAAACTTGTATGTTTCACAACAGTTTTTTTAAAGGTCTTTTTGATTGTTCAAATGTTCTTCATGCTCTAAAAAAAAATGTTTTCTTTGAAAAACTTTTCCTTAAATGTTTCTTTGGGAAACCAAAAAAGCTTTCTCATATAAAACCCTTTCTCACGCAAAAAAGTCTATATTTTACATTTTGTATTTTATTCTTTATTGTATAACTAGATTGTATTAAATTGGACCATGCCTCAGAGGTTAACACCAATTCCCAACACAGGCAAATCTAAACTTAGCTCTAGATGTCATCAGCTACACTGGCGTCACTCAGAGTTTATCTCTGTCAAGCTCTATATAAATGTCTGCTATAAAGCATACTCCATCATTTGGCTCATGCAGGTAAAGTTATGATCAGTAAATAACTTAAGAGTCAATAAATGTTACAAATGTTACAAACATTTATGAGTCTGTAAATGTTCCAACATATGCATCATATCTTTCAATGTCAATTCTTTGCATTTGAAACATTGATAATGTACCTAATCATTGTATTCATTGTTCATTCCAAGTATTATTTGTATTTATGTCATTGCGGTTCTTAATGTCAGATGTGTGCAGAATGTCCAGTTATAACAGCAGTGGCGATGAGCAGATGCAGCTGATTCAGGTGGACCCCGTGCGGAGGAACATCTCACTGGCGCTGACACAGGTCATCGTGTGGCCCTTTATCTATCTCATCTTCCTCATGCTCCTCATATTCTCCAAGAAAGAGACTTTTACAACTGAAATGCGCTATATATTGTTCGGACACTCTTTGTTAGTAGACTTAACGTTTCTTCTTTTGACGGATTTTGTGGTGCTTTTGTCATACAACCTTGTTTTATTACCTCTGCAGTTCTGCATCCCTGTTTGCATGTTTATAGAAACAGTGGCAGTAAGTGCACCTCTGACCGTCGGCGCCATGTGTGTGGAGCGTTATGTGGCCATTTGCCTGCCTCTTAGACACCATGCCATCTCCACCTCCAGAAGAGCCTTCATGGTGATTTTAATGATCTGGATCGTGAGCTCCATAAACCCGTTTATTGACATGTTCATTCTCGTCAGCACAGCCTCTCATGAATACTTGACTCAGCTCACACACTGCCACTATGAGATTATGATCCCTGAAAAGATCCGCGTGTTTGCCAGGGGGTTGTTGTACATTGTGGGGCTCGTGGTTATTTTAATAATTGAGATATTTTGCTATGTAATGATTTATCTCGCTGCTCGTGCTGCATCTGGTGACAATAAGAAATCTGCGTCGAAAGGGCAGCGCACTATTTCCCTGCACATACTTCAGCTGTTTTTATGCACTGCAGAGGTGATGTGCCCTTACATTGAGTCTGTGGTCATGCAGTATGATATTCAGTCATATCTGACTGTACGATTTATAAACTTCCTGGCATTCAGCATCACTTCTAGAGCGGTCAGTCCTCTTGTGTATGGATTTAGAGATGAGAAATTTTATACAGCGATGGTTTACTTTATCAGATGCAAAAACAACACAATCTCTTCTGACATTGATAAGCAAACATGAAATACATGTTTTTAAAGGTTAAACTTATGCTAAAACATCTATTGACTTTACTAAATGTAACTGAAAAATGTTATGTAATTTAAAATAAATTAGATCATTTTTATTGAGAGCATCACAAAAGCCTCTTGATGCATATTTTTGAATGACTTGCTTTACTAAGTTGTACTTATTTGTTTGTGCATATTAACTGCATTACTGAAATATGAAGAGTTCAGATGCAAAAACCTCTAAATGCCATCTAAACTTTTTTTCTCAGGCTCTTGTGGGTATAGTCATTTTAATTATATGTCAATAAAAAGGGTATTTTCATTGCCTGTAAAGTGAAATAACTTCACATAAACAGAAGATTGGGAAAAAATTTCAAGATTGGGAAAAAAGTTTTTGCATCTGAACTTTAGATTTTAAAATTGTTAGATACAGTTAGCAGATTAACTTGTATTTAACCATTTATTTATAATTACAGATTTTAATGGCCTAATGATATATTATGTATAATTATTAGATTTTTAGATTGATGTTCATTTCAAATGTTCACACTGGAAAATAAGTCGGATTCACAGATAAGTGTATGCAACATGTAATTACATAAAGTTATCTTTGTCTCTTTTTTTAGCTAAATAGGTATTTAGAATTTTTATTTGACAAAGACATCATTGTTGTTTGCTATTAATAAAATGTGTCTCATAAGTGATATGTTGGTAATAATAGCAAATACAATACAAACAACCAAGTGTCACACTCAAAACATTTCATTTTATATTTATTGAGGATAAACTGGATCATATTTAATAATTTAAACACACTTAATAAAAGAGTGTGTCTGCTGTGTCCTGTTCAGTACTCATTTGTTTTTGTCTTTTTTTAATTTTTTTTACATACTGTACTGTAAATATCATATTGTTTCCTTTAACAACACACATGACCAAATCAACTTGAAATAAACCAAGTACTCCCTTTTTCATCTCATGTAGAATGTATATTTAATGTATATTAAATTTCCATTACTGATAATTATAACATTATATTAATAAAATTACATTTACTAGTGCCACTAAAGCACTTACATTTACTTTGTTACTCAAAGATTTTCAGCATATTTAGGGTTTAAAATCTATTGCTGTGCTTTGAAACAGACATCATCCTCCAGTGTTTGCTTAATTTGAACTGAAACATAAAGACTAAGGCTTAGCTCTTATAACAGCTTATGGCAGCCCCTGAGCCAATAGTAATGCTGAGTATTTCCTTCTAATCTTCTTCATATGACTTTAAATATGTCTATTAGCATTAGATATTAGCAGGTTTAATATGTCTGGTGGCCTGAACTGACATCCACATGACTCATTCAAGAATTTAAGGGACATTTCAAGAATTTTCCAATCATTTGTCTTGAACTGCATTGATATACGGAGAAAAAATTGATAATTACAGTAAACTGAAATGAGTTGACATTTTCCACCATTTTGTGCTTTGGCTAAAGATACTAACCTCAAACCCTGGCATGTCTAAAACAGAATTGTGTATGTTCGTCTGGCATGTTAGTCTTGGATTGAAAGTGCCCTTCCTAAATGATCTGATCCCCCCGCATGTAATTACATCTATGATTAATTTCTGTACTTATTATTACATCTTTAATTACACAGTTGACAATCCCTTACACTTTAACCCACCCTTAAAATCAACCCATACCACCAAACTCGAGCCTAACCCATATCCCACCTCAAGAGCACCAGAAGTGTCCTACAATACATTATAAACATAGCAAATACATTGTATTTATTTTTTGTAAATCAAGTACATAGTAGTTAAAGTCACCTAATATAAAGTAGGACCAATGTTTCATGCAATTGTTTGTATGAATTGGTAAACCCAAACAAAAGGATTAAATATAGACTCAATTATGATAATTGAAGTTTAATGTAATTTGAAGCAAAGACAGTTAGAAATAGCTATAGTGGAGGCCTTTAAGTTCATATTTTCAAGACAGAATGTCCCTAAACACATACAAATTTTGCCTGGACAGTATGGAAAACTTAAAAGAAAGAAAGAAGTAATTTCTAAATTTATCTTCACTTGTATCTCACTGCAGACAATACAACAAACATTATTTAATGTGTTCCTCCTGATTTCTTTTTTTTAATTAAAATGTATTTCCATTTTTGTTCTTGCAACACCATTTAAAAAATTAAACAGTATCATTAAAGCATTTACCAGTTTGGAATGTTGCCGTTCCTTTTCACAACACTTAAAAGAAGTTTAGGCCTGAAGACACCAAGTGACAAAGTGTTTCAGTTATTATTTTTTCCCTTTTTTTTGCAAACAAGTCTTAAAATGTACGCAACAGTACAGGGTTTTCTTCGTTGCATTTTGCATCTAAAGTACCTCTATAATCTTCTTGCAAAGCCGGGACTTTGAATTGTTTGCAGAAAGTTGTTTTGCTTTGTCTTGTTGAAATATGCATGGGCACCCCTAGAAAAAGAGACAACATATTGTGCTTCAAATTCTCTATGTATACTTTTCAGCATTATTGGTGCCATCACAGAAGTGCAAATTACCTGTGCCAAGGGCACTGACACAACCCCATACCATGACAGACACTGGCTTTTGGAGTTGCTGGTAACAGTCTGGATGATCCTTTTCTTTTTTGGTCCAGGACACACAGCATCAATTTCTCCTAAAAAATACCAGAAACACTGATTCATCTGACCACAGTTGTAACGGAGGGTCTGACACAGAGGGATCCATTTGCAGTATATTTACTAAACAGAGTTTAATAACAAACAGCACACAGATGTTAAGCGTGTGCGAACTCACATAAAACACAGTTGTAGTTAGTTGAAGGGCTGGCGGCTGGCAAACACAAGGTGAGTAATCAGACATGGGTCAAAGGCAGGCGGCGAGTATCAAAGTCAGGATGCAGGCTAGAGTTCAGGGCAGGCGGCAGGCAATACAGAGTCGAGAACAGTCCAAAACGGGAAACGCAGGCAATAATCAGGAAACGCTCAATAGTGTTAGCCGGGGCAGAACAAGACATCGCACTGAACTTGAGTGAGAGTGTGGCTTATATAGGTGAGTGTGGGTCGTTAGCGGGATGAGGAACAGGTGTGTGTGCTTATCAGTTTAAGTGGATGATGTAATGTCTAGAAGTCCGGTGATGATGACCTCTGCTGGCCAGAGAGGGGAATGACTGGGACCGAGTCTGTGACAACAGTACACATTGTGGTACTTGACAAAGGTTTGCCAAAGCCCATGTGCTGATATCGCTTATAGATGAATGATGATTTTTGCATTGCCAAATTGACTGTTCCTTAGCTGTAAGTGTCAGTCTCTTCAGCATAAAAGGATGGCGTTTCCTTGCTTCCCCTGTGCTTATATGCGGAGCTAATGTCACATCCTCAGTCTGATCATGCTGTCTGTTCCCCATTTCTGTTTACTTGTAGTGAGCGCACGTGAATGTTTATTTTGATCACTCCCCGTATCTCTTCTCCCTCTCGTTACCCCATTTACCATCTATTAAGATTGATTTTTACTCACCTGCACCCTATTAGTAATTCCTCTCGTGTCCTATTTATTCCCCTCCTTGTGTGTAGTCCAGTGCTAGATTGTTGTTTTGCGAGCGCGCCCACGCTTAGCCATTTGCTTCTGGTCTCGTCTTGTCTCCTGTCGTGGCTCTCCTATCCTCTCCTATGTTGTCTTGTTGTGCTGCTTCATGCCGGAACCATCTCCTTGCACTTTGCCTCTCCTTAACATCCTTTGTTCCCAGGCCGGACTGCTTCAACCTCACGGAGCCCATCGGCTTCAACTGACTGCCGGCTTCCTCTCCCTCGCTCACGCTCCACTTCCGCATTCCCCTTACGGCAACGTACCAGCACGCCCCCTGCCGGGTAACAGCATTATAGACTCTATTGTTTGCATATCTTTTTGGCTCACCTGTCTTTTGCTTTTGCTTTTTTTTGAAGACTGTGAACAGGGTGCCCCCTTTTGGATCTGTTTGGCGACAGGACCAGGTCTCTGTTATCAAGGACTTAACAGCGCCCTCTTCTGGGAGTTTTTCATGCAGTTTTTTTGTTTTTATTTTTCTCTTAATTTTCTCTGCAAGCGCCCAGTTGGATTTTGAATACACACCCGTGAACTTGGGGGGCCGTTTCGCGAACTGAATCGCATAGCTGAGTCTCCACCGCGAAGGGCTGGCCACGCTAACCAAGCAGGCAGAGCTCTCGCTAATGGACTCATCGCTACAATTGCTGACGTACCAGCAGTGGGGCAGCGTGGTGTGGGTGTGCTGATCTGGGAAGCCCGGGGGTCCCACGGAAGAGCTGGAGGCGAGAGATTTGTTCTCACTCCGCACCCAAACTCCGGAGGGGAGGCTCAATGGGGGGGAAAAAGGAGACCGTCCTCCAAGCGCTCGTGAGCCACTGGCAAAACGCACCGAACCTGCGAGCTAGAAGCATAGCATCTCAGACTGACAGATTTTAGGCTGTCACATCCAGGGAAGTGGAAAAGTGCTCTTTCATTGATGTTTTCATGGCAGTAAAAAGTGCTGTTGGAAATGGGGCCCCGCCCTCCAGCGGGGAAAGAGCAAGTTCCCTCTTCTCCAGATGACCTGTCACAGGGACGCTTCGTGGTTTGTTACCGGACTTAGCGGTGCTCTGGGCAGGGGGGCTGCCTGCTTTCGAGGTGCTCAACGCGCTCGCTTCACCGGAGGCGTGTGCGGGGGCGGTGCAGCTCCTGTAGGCGGGCGCCTTTGGCGAGGAGCAGCAGATATGGATGGTACGGCGAGCGGAGCGGGCTTACGGTCCCACTGATAGGTGACATTACCCATCGCATCAAACTGCTCTCTCACCGCCTTGAATTCCTGGGTGAATTGGCAGACAGTGTCACCAAACAGGCCAGCTTGGGATATGGGGGAGTCAAGAAAGCGGACTCGTGCAGCTCGACCAGTGCCTGCGCTTGGTAGCGCTGGTAGGTGGCCATCACGT